CAAATATTAGGTGTTGTTAATATATTTTTTAATAAAAAAATTTAAATTAAATTACTCTATTAACTAGATATATTTAAAAATAATTCAGATGACAGTTAAAAATATTATTTGAGTAATTCCTAAGACGACATCTTTTTTTTAATATATAAATATTAAAATAAAAATATATTGGATTGACCTAGGTCAACTTAGATTAATTAGTCAAATCTATGACACAAATCATAGGATTGAGATAATCTCATAAAAAATAAAAAAAGTATAAAGCTCAGTTTTCAATTAACCTAATATTTAAGGATTAAATTGAAAAAAATCAATTAAAAAAAATAACCAAAGTTAACCCATGCTAACCTACTAAATATGAGTTAGGAGATCGAGATAACTCCATAAAAAGCAAATATAAAAAATTATAAAATTCAATTCCGAAAAAACACAATATTAAAGGAAGAAATTGAGAGAGAAAAATTCAATTAGAAAAAGGACTATGACAAACCTTAGTCAACCTAACTAACTCACAAAACTTGTAATCCGGGTCATAAGAACATGATAACCCCATAGAAAGTAAATAAAAATAATAATTTTGAAACTTAATTCTCAATCAACCAAATTACAAATGATGAAGTTGAGAAAATAATTCGTTAAGAAAAGAACAAAAATATGACTCGAGTCAACACATTTAACCCGTAAAATTCTTAACTCAGGTTATAAGACTATATTAACCCCATAGAAAATAAATAAAAAATAATTATGATGATCAATTTTTAATTAACTCAATGTTGAAGGATAAAATTGAGAAAACAATTAATTAAAAAAATAAAAAAATAACCCAGGTCAATATGGTTAACTCGCAAAACTTGCGACTTGAGTCATGAAATCAAGATAACTCTATAGAAAGTAAATTAAAATAAATTATGAAGTTTAATATCTATTAAACCTAATGAATGAAGAAATTAAAAAAATAAAAAATAAAAAAAATCCTAAAAACTTTTGAGGACCAAAGTAAAAATAAAAACTACTTTTACATTGTTTATTGCTACCGTGAAAAGCTAAGTCGTTTTAATATATATGTTATCATAAATTAATAAAGGTTCATTAAAAAAAACACTCTAAATGTTTTATGAATACTAATTCATGTAATTAAATTGAGTCATATACACTTGATTCTTGTTAAAAACTATATATATATATATATATATATATATATATATATGTCCTTAAAAAGATAATAGAAAAGAAAATAAATTATCGTGCATGTGTTTTCATGCCTATTTACATTATAGACCAATATTGAAAACTAACCATTTCAATAATTATTACTTAAAAAAATAAATCTTATTTAATATTTTTAAATGAGAATTTAATACGGCCACGTCCAGATTAACCTAATGGAGATATTTTAAGGTTAGTCAATGACCTCGATGCTTGATGTAGGTTGTTCTGTACATAAGAGAATATTATGATTTTAAAATCTGATTTAATTTGATGAGTTGATCTGAAATCTAGTTAATTTAGAGTTAAAACCAAACTAGATTTAAGAAATAATAGAAAAAGATAAAATCCAAGGTGACCAGTAACCTGCTAAAAAACAAGTTATAATATGTTAATTTTTATTTTTTTATTAAAATAACATAATTTTAATTAAAAAAAATATGATTTGATAACCCGGTCAAAATTCAGTAATTCAGTCAAAATCTACAACTCAATTCTTCAACCAGACCGGATTTAAAATTGTTGGCCTTATGCTTGTTCCTCCACGGTAGAGTGCGTAAAATACGAAGGTATTGATGGTAATGGAACAACGACAGAGTGGCTACAAACTGAAGCCATGGTAGGTCTATCTGCTTCATTTTCTTGGTCCGATGTGAGAATCTTATCAATATCTCTCTCCTTGAAACAGCCCTTGCGATAAAAAGATCCATCATGTTTAATGTTGTTCCTTGGTATGGAGTCCTAGAGAAACCCACAGTCATTATACAGGCTTTGGGTTAGGGATTATCACTTGACGAGTCCATGGGGTATTCCTTGTCTCATCTCAGTAAAAAAGGCCCTCCTAAAGAGTTCGTCTGTCCAGCTAGCACTAGCCCCATACCCCAAAAGTTTCGAACTTCTATGCCCGAAGTTCCGTGAATCACTCAGCATAGAGCTTCTAACCCATAATATGGCTGTAACTTTGCATCTATGCGTGAAAATCCTATCAATGGCGAGGTCAGAAGGTGCTTTGCCTATGTCTAGCTCCTTTAACACTCAACTCACGTGTTGCGAAGCGATCTATCATGTGATTAACCCTAATTACTCCATCAACTCTAACTGAAATTCAATAATAGATTGAGACATAGATGCTGATTCATAGAATGAAATGGAGTTGTCCCATGTCACGGTGAAGAAATTCATGAGAGAGTCTCTGAACTATCTGATCAGTAATAGCTGTACTGGAACCCATGAGAACAATATCATCAACACGTACCTATAAATACAAAACAGCCTTTTGAGTCTTGTAGATCAGCAATGGAGAATCAGTATGGGAGCAAACAAAACCAATGAGTGATAGAAAGGAACTCAACCTTTGAGTCCAATGAGTCTTGCAGTCCACATAATGATTTCTTCAGCTTGCATACATAATCAGGACACCAACCATCAATAAAACCCTGTGGTTGAGTCCTGTACACTGTCTCTTCCAAATTGCCATTTCAGAAGGCATTGGAAATGTCCAGCAGGAGCAATTTTCGAGCCTTAGATATTGCAAGTGAAAGAGCTGTGCGAATTGTGGAAGCTTTAATGAGAGGACTAAATGTGGCTGAATTGTGGCAGCTTTAATGAGAGAACTAAGCGAGCTTTGCACTTGAACCGTCTTCCTGGCGTTTGAGCTTATACACGCATTTGTTTCCTATAACATTTGCTGCAGGTGGTCTTCGAACCGACTCCCACTTGCGATGATGAATTAAGACATTGATCTCAGCTGCCATAGTTTGTCTCCATTCGGGAATCTTAATAGCTTTTGAGAAACAGGATGGTTCCCATAATGGTACTGTAGCAGAGGTGTCACTAGAAGAACCTGCAGAAGTAATGATGGTATGATGAGCCTGTGTCTTTTTCAAAGTAGAGAGCCTTAGAACCATGGGGATGGCGGCGGGTAGGAGGTGCTTTCAGAGGAAGCATAAGTGTAAATGAATTTGGTGCGGCTGCTGTTGTGAAGGTTGGCCGTGGTGGCGAGAAAGGCAAGCACAACTATCAATTCCTGCAGGATTTGAAATAACATCTCAATGCTGCAAAGAAGAATCATTTGAAGTCGGCTATGAGGAACGAGATGATGTGTTTAAAGAGCAATTTGATAAAGGTGTAAGAGAAGTAGGTGTAGTACCTGAAGATGGAGATACATTCACTGGGGTTGCATGAGAAATAGTAAGCCATGGTACTGCAGAATCTATTGCAACTGGAGGCTTGCCAAGAATAGAATCTCTAGAATATTGTTTCTCAGCATAGAGAAATCTCCTTTTACCAAACTAAACTTTTCTGCAAGTGTAAATTCGGCGAGTATCAGGATCAAAACAGAAATAACCTTGATGGAGGTTGAAGTAAACAAGAAAAACACAGTGAACACCTCTAGGAGCAAATTAATGGGAAATGTAGGGCCGAAGAAGAAGGTACACAGTGCATCCGAAGATTCTGAAAGGTGCTTGATGGGATAGTTTTTTAGAAGGACTAAATACTGCTGAATTAAAGCACCTATTAATCAAATAAGCTCCGGCTGAGAAGACGAGCGTTCCAATACTGAAATGGAACTTTCCATCTGCTAGAAGAGCCAAACCTGTGTCAACCATCTGTCTGGTCTTTCTCTCTGCAACTCCATTCTGTTCATGGGTACCAGGAAATGCTATCCTATATTGAATTCATTCTGTTTGAGATAACTGTAAGCATTTCAACTATTTATCGAACTGTGTTTCAACCATAAGATGAAAGTGCTTACTTAAAACATCACATTTTTACTTGGTGCATCCATTACTTACTTTTCTTTCAACACAGTCAACTCATTTTTGATAATTGAAGAGTTTGGGAGAAGATTAGAAATTTCAGAATTCGAAGGCGAGGCCATTGTTTTGGCTTTGAAACGAAGACAGATTTTAGAAGATGGAGGATAATACTCAAGCCTATCATTGCTGAAAACATCCAGTTATATACATATGTTACAAGAGTTTGAATCCCAGGTTGCTGGGAAAAGGCACCAATATATCAAATTCACAATTCACAAGAATTCTTCATGTAATTAACATAAGATCAACTTATCAACAAAATTAAACAATCAATTACACGCACCAAGATTTTGTATGAAAAACCGTGTGGAAAAAAAAACTTTATTTATCTATGAATGATGTGATATAGGCTACAACATATAAATCATCATGAATAAACTATTCTTGAAGTAAGACTTCAGCGAAAGAATTCAGAGAAATCCACCAACAGCCTTGTTTTATGACAAAACAATTAACTTAGACTTCTAGAGAATGAAGAGTTACAAGCTGTTAAAATTTCAAGTTGACCAACTGTAAATGAGCTGCATAAAAGAGCTTAATAGCTTGTTTATTTTTGTGTTTGAAAAGTATATTTAAAAAAAGTTAAATTATTTATTTATTTATTTTAATTATTTTGATGTGTTGATATTAAAATAATTTTTTAAAAATAAATAAATAATATTATTTTAATATATTTTTAAATAAAAAATATTTTTAAAAAATATAATGGTAAAAAAAAACTACTCTCTCTCTCTCGGGTGATAGCCGGCCCTAAGCTTTCTCTCCGCCCATTGTTTTCTTTTGCTGCCACTTAAAATACAGCCCCTTCCTTGTATACGTGTGATTTACCTTTTAAGCTTTAAATGGTATATCTGAAATAATATTTTATCCTATATGCTATTAAAATACATGAATTAATATAAAGTTGAGTTTGAACATTCAAGCAATCCCAAAAAAAAGAAAAAAAAATTAAAGGAGAAGGCAAGAGAATAGTCCTGAGATACAGAACAAATTATAGCATGCTTAACGGTGGACCCTCCATCCGCAAACTCTACCGAGGGTAGAGTTCAGTGATTGAAGCCTCATTGATTGAACATGGGACAGATGCACTTCGGGATTGATCTGACTCGGTCCAAGTTGATGTTGTCCCAGACAGTACCGTACTGTGAGCAAAAAACGCAGGCTTCTGAGGTACTGGAAGAGTGACGGAGTAAGTACTTAGCATGATAACAACTGAAGCCATGTTTGGTCTATCAAGTGCATTTTCCTGCACGCATAGTAAACCAACGTGGATGCATCTCAACATTTCATTTCTTGAGCCACCCCTTAATGTCGGATCCATCAGCTTATCTAAATATGGTCCGCTATTCCAATTTTCCCACGTCTGCAAAATTTTAAGAAAAGAACAGCAGAGTGTTAGAAGGAAAGTGGTTTGCTCGATCTCTTTCCTGGCAATCTGGATCAAGAAAAATGCAAGTGAGACAGTAGCATACTCACATATGTCAGAAGGTCTTCCACCTCCCCCTCATTGAT